CCACCAACGACGGCCGAGAGGACTGGCACTGCACCCAGACCCGTGGCAGGAACGACGTGCCGGGGTGCCCCACAGCACTTACTGATGGATCTGGCACCGTCAAGTCCTGGGGCACCACAGGCCCGTCCAGGGCTGGGGACAGAAAGTCACAGTACTGGGCCCGAGTCCCCCAGAGTCCTCAAAGGCAACAGCAACACAGCAACACAGCCAGGCTTCTGATCTTTTATTTTCTACGTTTATTTTTGGTTATTATGTGTACATCCCTCGGTGGCCGAGTTTACTAAAAGGGATCCACAGTGAAGCCCTGAGTCACGAAGTCACAGAGGGAACCCCACCCCCGCCCCCAGGCAGGGACCCCCACAACCACGGGTGGGGAGCTCGGCCCACACGGACAGGAGCCTCAGGAGCGCGTTTCTCCGAGCACAGGTACTCGACAAATCTGACATTTTACAGTGTAAACAGACTTTGCTAAACGGGCCCAGAGGAGCAGGGCCAGGCTCACCGGGGTGAGCTCCCTGCCATGCCCCCACCCTCCCAGCTCAGGCCCCCCGAGGGAGGAAGACGCGTTGCCAAAGGCAGAAGTTGGTCGTTATCCTCTCCAAATTCACAACACAGAAAGTCAGAAGCTGCTAAGATGCAGGTAACAATAGCAAAACACTCTCTAAAAACAACGGAAATGAGGGGGGAGCTCACTGGATACATTCATTTTGGCTTTGTGCCCACGTGGGGATACTGAGAAGCAAGCGCAGGTCCCGCAGGCTGCGGTGGCTCCCGGAAAGGGTACCGTGTGTTAGCACCATTTACGGGCACATGATCAAGGCGTTTCTTATTATAGAAAAGCTCTTACAATCTAAGTACCAAAAAATGATTTTGAGGTTCAAAATTAAGCTCAAGCATCCCTGGTTACTAGGAGAATGACGGCTAAGACCACAGGTATTTCAAGGCCTGTATTTCAAGGACTTCACTCCTGACCCCAGGCTTAGACCCAAGAAATCAATGTGACTGACAAACTCCAGCGGGGGTTCTCCTCCATGAATAGCCCTGGCTAGTCCTGAGCGTTCAAAGTACTTAAATACATAGGAGGCCAGAAGGCCTGGGAACCAGAGGCGTGATATGATCAAATGGTTTGCTGATATGGAACTTCAATGCAATGAACACATCTATAGTTCTGACCGAATTAACCCGTTCCCCCATTCCTAGTAAGTACTTCGACTGACCATGGAAAGAGACAAGCGGGTAAGTCCCCTCAGGCCTCCAGAGAGCTGCTGGGCCCAGCAAGACCTGGTGCAGACATGCTGACATGCACCGGCCCCATATGGGCAGGGCCCTCACCTTACCCTACTGCACCCCTCCCCTGCCAGCGCCCCCCACCCCGCACCCTCCCCAACAGCCCACCGGACCAATTTGGTCTTGTGCTTTTCCAGGCGTCAAGTTATAAACTGAATGACAAAGGCTTTAATCGTCAGCTGCCCTCGTCTATTCTCTGCACAGCCTGGCACTGGCTCCCTGGTCTCTCGACCTCCTCAGAAGAGATCACCGGGGTTTTCCAGAGAGTGAAGCATTAAACATTGCACATCTGTGAAACAGGGAACTTCATATGTTTTAGGAAAAGTGCTTTGCAGAATCCATACACAGAAGTCGTTCTACTCACACAGATTTTCATCCACGTGTAACACGGGCCAGGAGGTCTGTCAGGCATCTGCTGTTTCGCCTTTGCATTTCCAGTAGGCTCCACAGCGGGCATGGAGCCCAGTGTGGGCAACGACCTGAGCCTAGACCTGGAGTCTCGCATTTAGTCAACGGAGCCGCCCAGGTGCCCCTGTTGTTTTAAGTGACATTTTTATTCTAAAATCAGTTCCTCCTTCGATTCACTTCTTACAGTTCCTTTCGCCATTTCTGCAAGGGACTTGACTCTACCCTGCCTTTTCCTGAACAGCCTGGGGTTCTGTGCCTTTTTCACACACTTCCCAGATGCACCTCACACACACTGAGAACCTCCTTTTCGCTGTGCTTTAAGTAGGCACAGGCTTTTTTAAAAAAGACATTTATTTCTATGTAAGCCTAGAAAGAGGATTCCCTGGAGGTTTAGACTTCTGAAAATACTTCTGGGTTTTCAAGGGGGAGTACCTGCAAAGTACTGCTTAATAAAGACAGAAAATGAAATATTCGAAATGTTATTTTAACATCAGAAAGAGGAGGCAGCGGGCAGTCTTTTGGAGGCTGAAGCATCCACAGTGACAGCAGGAGGGCCAAGAGTAGCAAAGGCAGGAGAGCTGGCACACGGGGGGTGGGGGGGGGGGTTGGTGTAACACAGCACCTTGGTGGGAGGGGCAGGGCGGGAGGGAAAACAGCCTCCAAAAAAGGGTGGGGGGAGGGCATAAAAACCCACAAAAGATGTTTCTTCTGACAGAGGTGTTAAGACTCATGTGGCCTGAGACTTTTACCTGCTAAGCCCTACAACTGGAAGGAACTGAGTAATGAAAGGATACCAAGACGATGCCTGAGAACTTGCATCAGATCTCACTTAACTCAGTGCCCAACACAAAATACAAATGAAGCACGGTCGATCCCATTTGGTGCGTCTAAAACATTTTCTGATATGCTGTATTCTAAGAAGAGGAAACTCAAACACTTCAGGTCAAACCCCGCCTAGGTCTGGAGCACAAGGGCAAACCCACAGCTTGGCCTCTTGTCCTCCACGGCGGTCATCGCTGTTCCACCTGCGGGAGTGAAATCAGTGCCAGCTGTGTGTGCCGCGTGTGCCCGAGCTAAGCTCCTCCTCCTAAGAGGGGAGGAGCCAGAAGAGGTCCTGAAGAAGCAGTGTTAATTCCAGGGAACTTGCTATAGGGAAAGTCTTTCAGGTTTAAATGCGCCTTAAATAAGCTCAAAGGTGTAAGTCATGCCTGCTTAAGACGGAGATCCTCTTTCTGCCGAGACCCTAGGGTCCAGATCTCTGAACTCCTGCAGTAAGCTCTGGGAATGAGTAAGCTCAGTGCAGTCACCACAGCTTTCTCTTTTCCTAGGACACTGTACCATCTGAGAGGCCCCTCTAAATCGATTACCCTGCATCTGGTTTGGTCTCAATGTAATTTCTATTCTGCTGCTATCACCCGAGCAGCCCATGACCAGGAATGACTCATGGCATTAAGATTGTGGACAACTGAAGCTGCATGTTATAATGAAGAAACATTATTTTTTAAAGTCAGCCAATCACTTATATTTCCCGAAATACTGCATCTTTGAAACCTTTGCCTCTCCCATGTTGCGATCACACTAAGCCTGTCCGACAGGCTGGGCGCAGAGTCCCACAAGGCCCTGGGTCAGAAAGCTACTTCGGCGCATGCTTTCAAACAGGCATCACTGCGGTGCCGAGGACCACAACTTCCACACGCTCTAAGAACACCACACACAGGAACAAGAATGTATGTAAATGCACGTAAACAATGAAGCCGCCCAAAAGTCCAGTTCAAGTTCACAAAGATTAGAACATTTTCAAAATGCAAAGACAGATGGTCACGAGTATTATTAACCTGAACAGCAGGTGTGGACCAACAGTCAGACTCGGTGCACCCCCCGGAGGACAGAGACCCCCACTGCCTCGTGCCCACACACTAACTGCTTTAAAACTGTTCAAGAATGAACAGTAAGCATTACTGTTGTACAATTACAAATACTAAAATGAAGCATCAAAGCCAATAAGAAGTCATTATTATTTCTTTAATTTGGCTTCTAGGCACCTCCTTATTCAAGGCACCATGACGTTTCACAGTGAGAAACAGAGCCTCTCCGACGCACGCAGGCACATTCAGAGCAAAACCCAGTTCAAATCGTCTGAAGAGTGAACACCTCCCGAAGCGTGGGATCACGGATGAGGTAACAGGACAATACTCATGTAACAGTCTGCATAGTTTTGTGTGTCCTCTGAGTTTTCTCAAAAGAATTTTAATTTTTAAGTATAAAGCAAAACTTACATCTTCAGAAAAGGCCCGCCACTCCCCCAAAACATGTGATAGCTTATTAACTACACTACATTGAACCAAATCAAGATTGTAACTGTTCTAAAATAAAGGTTGGGGCCGCAGGGTGGTGCTACCTTCACAGACGCTGAGCCCAGGCAGGTGCTGCTGACACAGCACTGCAGTGATGTGTCTGGTCCCAGGAACCACGGACACGGCCCACGCCCCCGTGGACGACTCCGGCCCTAACCGCGTGCAACCAGGCCTCCAGGCAGCATCACTCACCAACAGGTACACTCCCTCCTCCCTCAGGCCTCCCGAAACCGAATCACACACCGGTGCGCTCGGCCCCACTTCTGTACTTAGTTTTCGACTTGCTTCTACTTCACCTTACTCAAGAAAAATCTAAGACACTTCGCTTTGACTCACCCCCCGGCAGGAACACGAACTTGGCAGTGGCAGCACCATCAAAAACATCCCGTGGAAAGGGCACAAGAAGCCCTAGATCCAGCTTCCCCCCACCCTTGAGCTCAGATGAAAGGGCCTGAAGTCATGGGGCCCTGGCTTCCTCCTCTCAAAGACCAGGGGAATCGCTGCGCTCTTCTCACTATCAAATGGCGCACCTGTGAGCCCAAGAATCACCCACAGCCCAACGCCAGAGCTCAGCTACAAGCAGTGCCCCCAGCTGACAGCACAGCACCTGCACGGGCACCAGACCAGCTGTAGCCGTGACCTCAGGCGCCTGTCACGTTCTCAGTCAGAGGTTTCAGGTGCCATCACAACCCTCCTGAGTGTGGCTCCTTCTCCAGCCTTTTAGTAACTCCTTTTTGGACCCAGTCTTTATTCTTCTATAAGACAATCTGTTTAATTAATATGTAAATCCAAACCACTGATCAACAAGACTATCAGAGGCCGTGATGACTGCCCTGGTGACAGACACCCTCCAGAGTTAGGTCACGTAAGCTCAAGTGCACAGGAAGGGCCTACAGACACCCATTACCGTCAACACAAAAAATTACTATCTTAGAAAAAATGGAGAGCCAGTTTACAATTAAAAAGAGTTTGATTCTGAGACATAAAGAACACATTCCTTTCCAAAATGAGTCTCCTCTGATACCAGAGATTTGCTTGACGGAGAAGATGCAGTCTGTACCTCCCACAACAAGTGCTCTGAAGGCCCCTGAAACGTATTGCATCCAAGATGAGGGAAAACACTCGGTTAATTCTTATCAGAAATTGTCCTCAGAACAGCCCTGTCCAGCCTGGCTCACGGGGCCCAAGAGTTCCCACAGGCCATTCTAAGAGACCCGGAGGCCCAAGGCCCGAGCCAAGCGTGGCCTGTGCACCTCGGCCGCGTGGCCAGGCTGCCCAGGTGCGCCCCTCACAGACTCGTCTCCTCGCACACTCTGACGGGGATGTTGTAGTGCCGGTCGTCTTCGGCGATCAGCGTCACCACCGGCCAGTCCAGAGGCGGATCGGTGGGGTAGACGGTGACGAACTCTTCCGTGCTGTACTTGGAGAGCCGGTACACCTGAATGGTGTGGCGCACGGCATAGGCGAGGAGGAACATTTCGACCTGGGGAAGAGAGCAGAGAGCTGTGCAGAGGGAAGCCGCCTACTCCAGCCCCGAGCTCGGGGCAGCGCACGGCCCGGCCACCCCGCAACCTCTCTTCCTCTGCGTAGGCCCGGCCCCCAGCCTTCTCTACACACTTGGCACAAATAAGCAGACCGTCAAAAGTGGGCTAAGCATCTGTTAAGAGACTTGTATCCAGAATCTATGAAGAACTTTTATAACTCAACAATTTAAAAAAATGACCAGTTTGAAAACTGGGAAAGGATCCGAATAGAAAAGACATTAATCCAAAGAGGATACGCAAGTAGACAATGAGCACATGAAGAGTCCTCAGACAGTCGCCCACCAAAACCACAGGGAGACAGACTCCCCTTCACTCCCACTAGAACAGTTATAATCAAACAGGTAATAATGAGGCATAACTACTTAACAGGTACCACGTTCTCTTTTGGGGTGACAAAAATATTTTGGAACTTGATAAACGTACTGAGAACCACTGAGTTATATACTTTAAAATGAATAATTTGGGGCGCCTGCGTGGCTCAGTGCGTTAAGCCTCTGCCTTTGGCTCAGGTCACAATCTCAGGGTCCTGGGATCGAGTCACGTATTGGGCTCTCTGCTCGACAGGGAGCCTGTTTCCCCCTCTCTCTCTGCCTGCCTCTCTGCCTGCTTGAGATCTCTCTCTGTCAGGTAAATAAATAAAATCTTTAAAAAAAAATAATAAAATAAAATCAATAAAATGGTTAATTTTATGTTACATGAACTTTAACTATAGAACAAAAGAAGTATGTCCCAGTATCTAGCCAAGAGAAATGAAAACATGCATCCACACAACAAGATTACTCATAGTAGCTAGAAAGCAGAAAGACCCCAAACGTCCGTCAGCTGATGGACTACAGTCTGTCCACTCGCTAGAACACTGTTTGGGACGTGTGCTGCAATATGGATGAGTGTTGAGAACATGAGGCCAAGGGAAAGAAGCGAGCCACAAAAGACCACATATTATACGATTCTGCTTTTACAAAATTTCCAGGATAGGCAAATCTACAGAAACAGAAAGTAGACTAGTGGCTGCCTAGGGCTAGGGGAGGCGGAATTAGTACCAACTGGTATAGGGGTTTTTTTAGGGTGATAAAAGAGTTTAAAATTAGATTACAGCGATGGGTGCAAAACTCTATAAACATACTATAAACCGCTGGGCTGCACACTTCAAAAGGATCATCTTTTTGGTATGTAAAGTATATCCCGATACAGCTGTTATGTTTTAAAAATGGGACTCGCCATTACAGATTTTGTGAGGACTCCTCAAGAACGAACTTCAGTCCAACACGCAAACCACCGCGCCCCAGGCTCTGTACAGAAGGGAAGGGCTGCGGTTCCGGAGACAGAAGGAGCCTGTGCTCTCTGAGCGCAGATACTGTCTGAAGCGGTCCTCTTCAATCCTGCCTGACCCGGCAGTGACCATGAGCCTTTGCGCTTTGCTACACACCGCAGAGGCTGCGCTTTGGACGGACAGCCTTAAATGCTACTTTCGTAGCTGCCTATTCCACTAACAAAGACTTAAGCTTTTTGAGATAACACAGCGTGCACACACCAAAGACAGGGCAGGGTGGGTGTGGTGAGGCAGGGGATAGTAGCGCACAGGGTCTCTGTGCAGAACTCCAAACTTAGCATATGCGTAAAAGATCCCAGAGCAGGCTGGTCTCTACTGGCTAAGGTGACTCCAATTCTATTTTTAAGGACACTGTCTAATACAGCTCCGGCTGCCATGATTAAATAGTAAGACCCTTTGCTGCATTTACTTGTAGCCTGCCAGGTGCAAGGGCGCTGATCCCATCCAGCATCCTGCAGAAGCAAGCCCAGGCTGAAATCAACGTGGTGGTTACAAAACGGACCCACAGTGCCCTGCCCTCCTCACTTGATAAGGTAGGTGGGACCGGATGCTCTCTCCCCTCGAATGTGGGATGGATTTAGTGACTTTGTTTTTAATGGTGTACATAACAGTATGTAACTTCCAAGATGAGGTCGTAAAGCGCACTGTGGCTTCCTCCTTGCCCTTTTCTCGGATCACTTCACTGTCTGGGAGAAACCAGCCATCGTGTCCCAAAGACACTCAGGCAGCGCTATGGAAGGGCCCATGTGTCGAGAAACGAAACCCTCCTTCTAACTACCCCCGAGGGTGCTGCGCCATGTGGGAAGTGGATCCTCCAGCCCAGTCGAGCCCTCAGGCGACTGCAGTCCTGAACAACACGGGACTGCTTCCTCCTGAGACCCTGAGCCAAAACCACACACCTACGCTGCTCCAAATTCTTGACCTACAAAAGCTGTGATATAATGTTAAATGATTAAAGCTGCCATTTTGGACTAATACACATTCAAAGGCACAACTCACCTGTTCAAGGCCACCGGTGTGTCCCACCTGGTTTAGATGGTTCCTTAGCAGCTGTCCAGGATCATTCGATGTGTCCCGAGCAAACAGAAGCACGGAGAAAAATGGTACTTCCTTTCCCTTCTCTTTATCATCATATAGTTCAATGGCTCTGTTTAGCATTAGAAATTTTACAGCTTCATAGAGGCTATATTCCTCTTCCTCATTTGTGAACAGTTCATCACAAGCTATCTGCCTTGCTTCGGCCGTTCTCAGTTCCGCCAAGCCTGCCCACTACAACAAGAAGGTTACGTAACAATTAAACGCCTGCTCTAAAAACCCCTGGTATATTTCATACTATGAGCACAAAATTATTTTCAAAAGTAGGCGACCACGGGTCATGTACCCATGCTCACAACATTCAAGTTTCTAGCTCAAACAATGATACTCTTTAGACCACACAAATTCCTTAATCAGCTTCTCCCCCATTAGTATGAAACAAAAGTACAGTGCACTAAGGAGAAGCACTGATGCCATGGGATGGAGCTTTCAACTGCCCTAACTTCCAAGACGATGAAACTGGACCAATCGGAAATAACTTCCGGAGGAGTGAATAAGGTATATGTGTGAGGGCTGTGTGTGAAGCTGGTGGGGGGGGGGGGGTAGCTAAAATTATACCCCCCCTTAAGGGGCTTACGGGAGGGAGCACTTACCACCTAAAAGCACCAAGCCAACCTGCAAAAATGAAGATGAGCAAGGAAGACTGTGAGGGCTGCTGAACGTTAGGTTTACTAAACTCACCCTTCTAACTTCCTACAAATATACATGGAGTTTCAAATGAATACATGCACGCAGGAAACGTTTATTGACTCCTGCTTAAGAATAAAGCAGAGTCCTAGGAATACAGCTAACACAGGCGAACACGTTAAGTGAACGAGAAAACTCTATAAATACATGTGCTTTTAAATTAAAGTGAATGAAGACGAGAGATACCAACACGAACTAGTCCTTATGAATAACCAGTAACTATTGCTCCTTTCAGAAAGCCATTAAAATTCTAAGTTCAACAGTGAATTTTAATGGTAATGACTGTACCACAGGATTCTCTTCTATATGTGGTTGAAAGCTGGAGCATCTCTTATTTTCCAGAAGTAAACCCAGTCAGCAGTCAAGAGCATGGCTCTAGAGTTACAGGGTCAAGATGGAATGAAGGCCTTGCTACCAAGCAGCTGGTGGCTTTTGCTGAGCATTAACAGACATCGGGACCTTAATTTCCTCATCTTAAAATGGGGATAATATGGCAACATCTTGGTAAGTTAGGAGAATTAAATAACATATGAAATATTTAGCGCACAGCCTGGCACACAGGAAGTACCAGTAATGCTGGCTTAGATTACTAATGAATAATTTTAATGTTACTGTAAATTGGAAACACTTAAACCATTCCCCAAAATAAGGATCTGTTTACAGCACACATAGCTAATACAGCAAAAATTACAATTTCACAAGACCTTAAAAGAGGTGAAAAAGAAACTGTCACCACTGGTTGAGTTGAAGAGCCTTCCTGTTCACCCACATGGCCAGAGCCCTGCTCTCAGCCCTCACTTACCCTAGATCCTGGGTCCCCAGCCCCTGCAAACCCCATGCTCCATTCCAAAAGGCAAAGAGAATAGAAAGAATCCCTGTTTCCTTCTCCTGTCACAAATTTTTAACTGCTAGACTTTCCATGAAACACTTATGTTTGTAAATAAAAACTAGGTTCTAGGAGGTCAAGGCCCTCAGTTCATTCACTAATCAATGTATTTACCAAATGCCTATTGTGGTCAGGCTTGGGGCTCAACACTGGGTGAAAAGGAGGGAGCAGGACAGATCCTCATGGAGCTGAAAGTCTAACCGGCGGGCAGACCGTACTGGATGAAACAGATCAACACCCGGGGTAAGCGCTAAAGGACTCCTGAAAGCTGTCTGATGCCTCCTTACCAGGCTCCCCGCCATCTACAAAGCCTGAAGCAATGAGCAGGCTCTCAGCTTGGGGTTCCTGGTGGGAGAGCTTCAAGCTCTTCTAAGGCAAGCAACCTAGCAGTCCGCATGGGCCAGTGTCCAAGCAGGACCTCCAAAACCCATGGAATACTCCAGAAAGGGAGTATTTTAATAACCCAAATCACTGGGAATCGGTGTGCCCTATAATTGTTTCAGAGAAACCCTCAGGACACTTTTCAAAAGACAAGTTACTGGCATGCCTAGGTGGCACAGTCAGTTAAGCATCCAATTCTTAGTTTCAGCTCCGATCATGATCTCAGGATGAGCTCAAGGACGCCCTGCCTCGGCCTCTATACTCAGTGCAGGAGTCTGCCTGAGAGTCTCTCTCCCTCTCCCTCTGCCCTTTCCACTCATGCTCTGTCTAAAATAAATAAATCTTAAAAAAAAAAATGAAGACAAGTTTCTGACAATCACTCAGAAATGAAAACAAGTCTAATAAACAGGGACAGAAACTTAAAACATGAACATAGTTGGAAAGAATTTATAAATACACATTCACGTCATTGATAATACTCTTAAGAAATAGAGACTAAATACAGACTACCCCTGAAATTTGTTAGTATGACTTAAAACAAAGACCACATTTAAGGTTTCCTTTTAAGAAAGTTAAACGTTTCACTAAACATAATAAATGGTGTCGTTATTTCTCGATTTGCCAAAGACTTCACAGGAAGGGTTTATGTTCATTTAAATTATGTTGCCTAACTGTCAGCCATGGGCATTTGGCAATGCACTCTGTGAGGACTAAGAAGTAGTCTGCTGGGACGATCAGGAGTGAGAGTTTTGCACTTCTCAGAAAAAAAAAAACTACAGATTCCAAACCTTCTTCCTTAGCAACGTGAGGGACTCCTTGATTCTATCAACCAGGTCCTCGCTCTTCCCCTCAAATTTCAGTCCAAGTTTCCACTGCTTGATCCAGTTGTATTTGCTTATGAGCTTTTCCGGTAACTGGATTATCAGGAAACAGAGAGAAAAAGAGGTGTTAGCATTCCAAGAAATCCACCACAGGATCCCACAGAAACCACAAAACCTACAAAACCTACCTTTGTTTCCAGAATTAATTCCCGCATGTTTGTCTGCTGGAGAGAAATGGTGGTTCCCGCTGAGATAACAGAGGCACAATCTACCTTGCTCAGCTCCCACCACACCCAGAACATTCCACCAGCACTTTGTGAGGGGAACATTAAAGCAGCATCCCCGACACGTCTTCACAAACCACCCAGGTAGCTACTGGGGTCACGGACAGCCTCCCTGCCACTCCCTAAAGCCCAACTTAGGAAGGCGCTTTGGGCAGGAAAGATGGTCCAGGATCAAGTAAAAACCTGATTTTTTCCTGATTAGAAAAATACCGCCTAACTTCCGATATTACCACATATCCTCAAAAGCTTCAATATTCACAAAAACAATGTGTCTCTAATTTAACTGCCTCATCAGTACAGTGAGACAAAACCACAGCAGGGGGTGGGGGAGGGTGTTAACAGCTGCAGAGGCTCAGCTCATTAAAGAAGTGACGGCTGAGCTACTCCTTCCCCGGTTCCTTTTTTTTTTTCCTGGACCGTGTTTTATTTTGTTTTCCCCTAATCATCCACAGAATCTGGAGTCTGCAAGGCAAGCTGGGACACAACATGACTGGTGACAGTATGGGAACTCCGACACCCCTCCCCCCCCAAGTCCCGGGTGTGTCAGGAGAAAATGCATCATAAGGCTGGGCACAGGCACGTCCCTTCACTGCTGAAACACCCAGACGGGAAAAGAAAGTTCACTGAGTCAAACGATCAGTAGAGAAGAATTCGTTCCGACAGCATCCTACGTGGAACGTGGGCTTGTCACACAGTCAAAAATAGTTTTAAATGAGGCCACCTGTGTTCAGTTCCCGGGGAACCTAAGCCTCCAGAGGCCCCTTCACAAAGGTTGACTCCAGGTCCACCTTCTCAACCCGCAGCCATCCTGGAAAACAAAGGTGGTCTCGTTTCTGCAAAAGCCGGCACCATGCAGGGATGTACACTGCTCTTCAGGGGAAGTTACCACGGTGACGGTGACAGCAAATTACACTCACTGAGTCGGGAGTGGCTGCGCTCTCCCCGCCTTACCACCACCAGCCCAGCTCCGTGCCCACAGCGCCCAGCATTTTGGCAACACGTGGGTGGTTCTGCAGGGAACCTTCCATTCCGGTTCTCAGATTTATCACCATAACCTAAAATGCCCCCAAGTGGCGATAAGCTGAAATCACAGCTGGGCACAAAGAAGAGTGCGGAGCGGGAAATACCAGACGGTCAGCTGAGAAGTGGGGTAGAGAGAGAGAAGCCTGGAAGACCATCGGAGCCTCACGTGACATTGCACGTACCCCAGCAGCAGTCACAACACACAACTGCACTACTTGGAAGAGCCCCAAGTTCTAACTACGTACAGCGAAACCCTGAAACCTCGTTCCTTCCACACACTGGGCAAACCGTTGCCAGCGTAATGACCTAGCTCAGGGTTGTAGGCCTCTGGGAGATGTGGAGATCCTGGAGAAAGTCCAAAAAACGAGGTGTGAGAAAGAAATAATGAGAGAAGAATAATGCACTTGCAATGATTAATTCAGGAATAAAAAAGGAGATCTAACCTTGAACGCTTTCCAGAGTCACGGTACACAGAACACACATACATACCCACTCTTCTAGGACACACAAAGAGACGGGGCTTTTGTCAGAATAAGAGAGATTTAAGCAGGTAACAAGATTTAAACAAGAAACCATGATTGGAAATATTTCAAAAATAAGGTTGGTAATTAGCTTCGATGGAATTTCATTTGTGCCTATACTATAAAACCACCTGCTTCTCCAGGAAGTTGTCTTTAACTCTTGACATCCTCACCATGATTAAAAGGACTGTGGGGTAACAGAGATGTGTCCCCAAAAATAACTCATAAAAAAAGAGCTCCAGTAAACAAACACTGTCCCAGGTATCGCCTGCTCATCAAGGCACTCTAAATCCTGGTAAACCTGGAAACCAAAGGATCCCTGCCCTGACCGACACTCCCTCTCAGGGACCAAGGCGCTGCCCTCGAGTTTAAGAACAGTCAGACCATGCCACCTCCAATGCCGGCGTCAGGGTCAGATGATCAAGTGCAGTTAAATGTGGAGACTGGGACCTGGACAAGGGAACCCAAGCAGGGCAGGACGAGAGGGGCAGTGAGGGCAAAGCTCCACCTCCCAGGATGCGGATGAAGCCAGGCCAGAGGAGACGCGTGTGGGCAGGAAAAGGGTCTCTTTCACTGAGCTCAGATTAAGGGGAAGTTCTCTCAGTCTAGCTTTCCTCTTTCCCTTTAATGTTCTGAAACCAAGGACATTCTGGAAGAGAGGAAAAATGGCAAAATGCTGCAGAGAACACATTTCAATCTGCAAACAGAAGCAGATCAGCCAGCTAAAGGGCGCCTGTGCCTTGGAGACAAAGCAGGGCTTCTGTGGGCTTGCCCAAATTCTCGATGGGGTCAAGAGATACCCAGCAGTGCACGGCCTACAGGCCACTGGCCGACACTGGTTCTCAGTCCACAGACTCACCCACAAACTTAGGTGCCCCAGGACCTCTCTGACCCCAAAAGCAGAAGAGATGGGTTAATGTAGAGCCAGTGCCATTTAGAAGGCCCTAATAGTGCAAAACTAGATTCCCTTCAAGCTGCCTGCTGAGAGCTGCTTTTCTGTGTCTCCGGAAGTGGTCAGCATTCCCACACTTCCAGAAGCCCCATGGACACACAATAACCAAAGGTGCTTGTGCTCTCAACCGACCAGGACAGAAAGACTGTCGCTGGGCATGGGGTAGTGGTCAGACGAGGCCCCGGCCATTTTGGAAGGATTAAGGATCAGGGTAAATGGGGACAGACCCACTGTCACTGGCTCTGCCCCAAGTGTTTACCATGGCAAGCCTATGCCATCTTTAACACAAAAGCGTAGCCCGAGCTTGAAGGGAACGCAGGGTTTTATTTACTATGACAGGAGACATCTTACTCTGATGTATCAGGAAAATGAGTAAGAAATTACTTTCATCCCCTAATTCCTGTAGGACTGTCTTGTTTGGCAGCAATAAAGTATTGATTTGCGTGTCTTAAGCAAGTATGTTACCAAATAAATATTTCATAGTAAAGAGGTTACTTATCACAGTCACACAAGGAGTACTGGAGATGGGGAGACCCCACTCCGGAGGCCAGATGGTCCAGGTGCCCTGCCACCAAGGGGCACACTGCGGCCCCCATTAGCCACACCCTCCCTCCGTCTGCACGCCTGGTTCTGCCAGTCCCGCTGCGCCGTCACGCACACGCTCAGGCCCGTCGGAGCTGGGCTTTCCGAGGGAGACCGGCGGAAGGGCCAGAATGAGAACAAGAGCGCAAAGGCCTCCACGGCCTGTGCCCTTCAGGCCCTGTGACCTCTCGCGTACCCAATCTCAAGCTTAGAGGACAACCAGCTTCCTCTAAAAGCATCTTGATTCCAGGCAAATACCCCGGCTCCTTCAACAGCTCCTGAACAAGGGTCACACTCCATCTGTACAGAGGACATGGGCACAAACCCTCAAGATGGGATCTAACCGGCCCGGTTCAAGATGAGACGGTCACTGCCTGTGGTTTAGAAGTGTTCAAGACAAGGCTTCTTTTCTTTCTCACTGCCAGCCACACGCCATGTGGGCTCGGACTGAGCTTGCCATCGATCCACCCTGCTGACCTCTGTGAGCTGCCAATCAATTCATCCTGCTGACCTCTGTAAGCTGCCATAAAGGCAGATCTCCCACTGTGAGGACTCCTGGGTTTTGTTAATATCTGTGGGGTGTGTGTGTGTGCGTGCACGCATGCGTTTAAGCACGGCACTTCCAATTTTCTGCTGATGAACATCTTACTCTCCGTTCTGCCCACCAGACACTCTGAGATTTCTATCAGCCAACCTATCCAACCTATCCAACTTCACCTGACATAGGTCATAGACACAAGTCACATTGACACGACACCCAAGGGCGCCACTACCACACTGCCGATTTAAAACTAAGGCCAGGCACAGGACACATCCCATGACCCTCACCTCCCAGGAAGCCCCTCCCGGGGTGACACGCGCCACCCCCTACACTGATCCTCTTAGCACAATGCAGAAGGTGCTCATTTCTTGAACTGGAGCGGAAACCACAGAACGTGCATTCTAAAACCCCGCCAGGCTCTCAGATGAACAGCGTACGGCCCACTTACTGCAGACAGCAGCACTGAAGCCAAACTACCCCGAAGTGCTTTTTACAGACCACGAACACCAGCTCTCGAATTCGGCAGGACCGTTCAAACACATTTTACCACGTTTCTCTTCTGGGATACTGCAATCATTCTTGGTCATTTTATTACGCAAAATCATCTCTGCCACCCAACACCAAATCAAGCCGCATGCTGACGTCACTGTGGACAGCCCCGGCACCCGGCCCGGGCTGAGAAGGGAGCTTTCTCACAGAAACGATCGGAAACACGGTGGACTCAAACCTGCGGCAGCAGCGTACCAGCGTGAGCTCCGGGTCCAGCAGCCAGGGGGGCAGTGCCGCCGGCTGGCTCATCGCCTGGAACAGCGTGGCCCTCAGCGCGCAGTAATTATCCCCGCGGACGCGCCTGATGGAGGTGAACTTCTGAGACACTTCCTCGTAGCCCTGAGTAAAATCATCAAAGAATTCAAAATGGTCATTACTGACTTCAGACTGTACAGAAAGCTTTACTCCTATGGGAAAAAATGTGCCTCTGATCACCGGAAGGATGAAAACAAGGCTGGCTGAGTCCCTCACATAAGCCATTCTAACTCCTTTCTTTACTAGTCTAAAGAAATTACCAAATGTTAATACTGTACAAAACATCAGCATATGTAACAGATACAACACACAGGAACACATAAATATATCACTTATTAATGATTATTAATAATCAAGATTAATAAACATTAATAATCAAGACCAATAATTACAAATTATCATTTGATAAAATATATCAAATATTATGAAAACACTAGCCAACCCCGAGGTCAGGAGTTACATGTCCCTCTCTAAACAACTGTTATAATATTCACTAACTTAACTGTTATAATACTCAACATCCTGAGGGGGTTAATCTGCATTAAAAGTGACCCTAACTCTAATGAAGAGATGGGAAAGAACAGAGAGAAGTACTAAGTTTATACCTCTGTATTTTAAAAAAGTTTTTTAAAAATCCCAAGTTTCCATGGTATAGTAAAAACAGTCCACATGCTAGGAGATGTCTGGATAATTCTATCAGACTCTTTACAAAGTGGATTTAAGAGTCATTTGGTCTGGAAGCAAAACGAGGACATGAAAATGTTGAGTGACATACACGCTGTCACTCAGAACAGCCATCCAAATGGACCACTGTGAAGCATCCTCCGAAAACAGCCACCACACAATGGGCCACGGGCACGGGACAACCGGGTTTCTCTGGCGGGCTTACGCTCGCATATCAGGATCAACCTGCTGCCTTCTGCACTTCACTAGCCTCGTTCTGGGGGCCCTTCTGCTCCTCCTGCTCCGCGTGACCGTCACCTGAGACTCTGCTTTCTACCCTGCACTTACAAAGGAAGGAGCATCACCCTCGTCGTGGGGTGGGCGCCATGCAGACTCTGCCCAAGCACTGGGCCCTCGTTATTAGCTGTTCTCGAGGTTCGAGTCATAGGATGACCTCAGTGGGTGTGAGTCGAGTTTTCATTCAGCGCTCCAATCGCTACAGCATACTAAGGGCCGGTGACACACCTTTGCCCTTGGGCGGACTCCTGGTCACCCTGGGAATACTCACGACGGCTGACCCAACCGGAGCTGCATTTTCCAAATGCATAAATCACTCGTGCTATTTCAGAGGCCAATCAAACTTCAAAAATTAAATTTGGGTTTATACAAACTTATTTCCAAAAGAATATCCAAAACAAAATTAACTGTAAGACAAATAAGGACAAAAAAAGAACTTGAGATCCAAACTGAGGCCCCTGAGATGCTCTAATTACTGCCACGGGTCCCAAAGTGACCCTGGTCCAACTGATGTGCCTTTGACTATTTGGTCACTGGAACAGTCCGACGACATGGTCAAACCGTTCCCTCAAACTAAAATCACAGAGAAAGGGTTTTAGCGTGAGTTCCAAAATATGGACGATGTGGATAACTTCAGAGATACTTTTGAGTTATGGACCCTGAGGTGCCAACTGTTAGATCCTTAAAGAGGCTGAGATCATAAAATAAAACCGGAAGTCAGGGAAAGCATTTCTGGAAAAGATGAGAAAACATATGTTAGGTATCCAGCCTCCTGGTTATCTAGTTTGATACAGGGCTCAAGTCTGGAAAACCTGTAAGTGGCCAGAATTTATGCATTCAGCAGGCGGCCTCACAAGTGTAAACATTCATCGTCCCAGGCACTTCATGACTGAGCTCCCTACTGAGTGCCCAAGACACAGCTAGCCCACAGCTCAGACCCGGCAGGGAGCAAAGCTAGCACGGGCTCTCAGACTGCAGTAGCCGCTATGTTCGGAAGGCTGGCCCATTTCAGGGCAGGCGGGAGCGCTGCGGTGCACATGAAAGGGGCACACTGTTTTCGATAAAAACAGCTCTGAGGAAAAGCACAGATATATACAAATATTTAAAAATTTTAAATCCTGAACAATATAGATGTAAACAACAAAACAGATATTCCTATCAAATATGACAGGTCAGTATCTCTAATATAAAAGAAGTACATTCAAATTCATAATGTAAAGAGTCCCAAGAGAAAAATGAGCAAAGGATAAACCCAGAGGTTCTAAGAGGTGGTGGACGTTTTAGGTCGAAACTGCCATTTTTGTAGTTCAGAAATGGTCAGAGTAGCAATTTCACATCGTTCCACTCACTAAGGAATGTTGGCTTCAGGGTCCGTCAAGGGCAGAACCAAGAGGGTTGTGGGCTCCACCAGCATGTAGCGGGAGGGGGCCCGGCTGAACAATGGCCAGCCCAGCCACAGCGGGACCACGTCACAGGAGTCCCTCCCTAAGAGTCATCAATCACGTGATGGGACCAGGAGGGGCAGCTCTAGGGACACCTTAAACAAAGGAAGTAGTTTCAGATCCCTGGGCACAGGGAGTGTGGGAGAGCCCAGGCCCCTCGGACAGGAGGGCAGGAGACCAGACGCAGGTAGGGACAGCAGTTGGGATAGCATCTGCTGGTCCCATCCCTAAAGCTTTTAACACAAAAGGCCAGAAGGGGATTCCCAAATGGCCCCAAGAGGACAACCAATGCCGGCCCGACTCTGAAGAGCACAGCATCGTATTTTTCAAAGAAAAGGAATTACTGAACAGCTAAAGCTGGCCCTATATTAACGCTGGGACTCGAAACAAGCTCCTTACCTTCGGAGTCTGTTTCCTCATCTCTAGAATTAGAACACCAATATTTACCTAGTCTGAGAACAGCTGTTGTGACCACATCTAAAAATATAAAAGGACATATTCTGTGATCGCTTATGACAGACTACTTTAAGGACTTGAAACTTCGTGTATCTAGACATCATACCTTCTTCATACATGTGGCCTTTTGTGTATTTCCCCGCCATTCTTTTTTGCAGTAGTCCATGATGTCCATTTCAGGAGCTACACTTACCCTGGCTTCTGCAGAGGAATCAAAAGGGGGTTGGGTGAGTAACGAACAAAGCACCACCAGAATAGCAGCACTGCTTTACTCAGCTTACTCTTCCTCTACCTTCATTCCAGAAAGATCCAGAATCCCACCACTGCCACCATCCCCTCACTCCCCAGAGCTCTTCCAGTGGGTCTCCCGAGTCACCACACCTTCTCCACACAGCAGCCAGAGCGATGCGTTTAAAACTTCAGACAACGGCATGAAACTTCCGTTTAAATGCAAACTAAGCAGACCGCCACCACTCCTGGGTTCTGAGAGCTCCAGAGCTCCCACGGGACTGGCATCGATGTCCTCACTTCCTACAGGGGCCCCTGTCCTGCGCGCCCCCCGCCACTGCCTCTCTGGCCTCGGCTCCTGCCGTTCCTCACTGAGTGCTCCGGCCCGACCTGTGGCCTCCCCTGGACCTCTCCCACACACTGCGGGGCTCCAGCACTCCCTACAGGTCTCCGCTCTAACGTCACCCAAAACCCATAGATCATGTCACACATACACACTTTCACTCTGGTCCCCTTACACAGTTTTGTTTTTCTTCTACGCACTGATCAACACCTCACATGTTTCTTTTTCTCCACTTCTCCCTAAACTCCCCTCCCACCCACATCCACAGACACAGCACGGCACGAGTTCCTCTGAGGCCAAGGGTTTATTCTGTGTCTCAGCTGTGTCCTTAGCGCTCAGAGCGTCACTGACACAACGTGAGTACCATTCCACTCACACCCACCGTGCAGGAATCTGAGCTATGAAAAAATACACCTACTGATTGTTACTTAGTTTTTTATATCCATTATACAAAGAGATAAACCCTACTAAAAAATGTGTATTTATTTATTTATACTCTGCCCTCATCCCAAGAGGCTACAAACTATTAATAAGCCAGAAACTAATGAAGCTCTAAATGTTAGCTGAGCTACAGACTTCACTTGACTCTTTGTAAGACATTTACAATCCAACTTGCAATCAGAAAAATCACGTAATTAAAAAAATGGGCTTTACATTCTCCTTGTTTAACATACAAGGTTTGGGGGCTGACTTTGTGGTATACATGCACGCACGCACACGGGTATGTGTGTTTTAGGAAAAAAGTGAAGTAATTCTCAGGCATAGCTTGACTTCCTTTTTAAATTATAGAAGAAGTAAATGTTGGCAAGGAAATTAAGATACAAAGACAGAAGTACCTTATAACGTACTTACTCCTGAGGAAAGACACAAATTAACGACACATATTTACTGAACGTCTACCAGGCGCCAGGCACTGAGCTAGAAACCAGGGTTACCAAGGAAGTGAAGACCCAGATCCTGTCCTGGACAGACTGGGAGGCGGCTGAAGAAGGAAAGGCCACGGGCACCGACAAGCCAGGGTGTGATGGAGGCAGGGATGCGTGAGGAGCATGAAGTCCTCCTCGCAGGTTATAGACAATTCTGCGGCTTAAGTTAGGACTGGCATACAAAGGACACACACCCTTGAAGCACACTATGCAGAGACCACAAATACCGGAGCCACACAGCCGATCCTAAATACAGACCCATCAGTGTTTAGATTCAAGAAACATTTTTTTAGGGTCTACTCAGTGGAAGGAAGAATTCCTTGCATCTGCCTTCTCACTCACTTCCCCACAAAGTAGGAGGAAGCGCAAACATCCAGAACTGAGGCCATCACTTGGGCCATGTTTTCCCACCAGGAGGCATTACGAGCCTGAACAGAGAGCACATTTCCAGCCCAAGAAGGACCTCACGAGTGCAAAGTCCAGCCTTCCGGCTCTCCTGGCCTGCAGTCCTCATTCCTGCCCACACGAAGGTAAGCCCTGGCCCGTGGGCACGGTGGGCAGGTCCACCGGCTCAAAACTGAGAGGAGGCAGGGGACCTCACCGGGTTAGAAGGCCAAGCCACAAGCCATAAGCCCTGCTGATGAGAGGCCTGCAGGAGGCAGTGGGGTGGGAAATGGCATGTCCACACAGCTGCGGGCACCAAAATGATACTTCAAATCCCGTCCTGCTGCTGTTCTTGGGGAGAAGGGCTCCAACGGCCCCTACAAGCCCTCCTTCAGGATAAAAGATGGAGGCAAAGGACAGACAGCGCCTGACCTCAAACAGCTTAGACTATAGGACAGTCACAGTATATGACCGTCCGTTTAAATGCAAACTACTCAGACTGTTACTATTTCTAAGAAAGAACATTAAAAATGTAAAAAAAAAAAAAAAAACCCTCCAAAACCAAACCAAACCAAAACAAACCCAAAGGAGAAGCTAAAAACCAGAGGGGTAATCAGGAGCTCAAATAACCAGGAGGTCTGGTCCTTAACCACTGTATGGTGACAAAGACAAGGATTCAGAACCTGGAAAGATGGGAACTTAAAACTGAACTTCAGAAAGCCAGAACTCGGGGTCAGAGGGTGGACCAGGGCAAGAATTGTACTTTTCCTGTAATGGGCCAGAGAGTAAATAACACAGACTCTGAGGGCCATTAAGGTTTCTGTCACAACTAGTCAACTTTACCACGTGTGAAAGCTACCACAGACAACAGGTAAAAAAGAAGTTCCAATAAAACTTTATTTTAAAACCAGGTGGCTCATCAAATTTGGCCAGGCAGCCATAGTTTCGCCGACCCTGGGACATCTTTGTTAGCGAAGAGTGTTTGTTGTTTTTGTTTGTTTGTTTGTTTTTGTTTTTTTACTAACAGAGAGCATAAGAAAACTTTCTGCCTTGGCCTGGGCTCCGGCTTGGGAAAGAGGAAGTCTCCCTGAGAATTCATAACCACAGGCTGGCTCTCATACAGGGTCAGGACGGGAATTCAGACTAGCCACAAGACCCTGGAAACCCAATTTTAGAAACTGACATAATGTGGCCCAGGGTAGGTGACATGGTGGGTGCCTAACAGGAATAAGGCTGAACCCTCCCACTCAGGCCAGACTGCACAAGCCCTCCGCAGATACGCAAAAGCTGAGCTTTCAATTCAAACTTTGAAAAACGAAAAGTAAGCAAAAACAGCAACCGGCATAATCAGACCTGCCAAGATTTTCAGCAAATGAAATTATGAGACCCAGAGGAGTAGGTCTTAAATACTTAAAGAAATAAAAGGAGTAAGAAACATGAGCAAAGAGCAATAAACTATCAAAAAGAGAGCCAGGCAAATCTGGAGAAAACAGCACTTCTCTTTCTCTTTTCTTTTTTTTTTTCTTTTTTTAAGACTTTACGTAATCTCTACACCCAATGTGGGGCTCGAACCTATGACCCTGAGATCAAGAGCCACAAGCTCCACTGACTGAGCCAGCCAGGCGCCCCCAGAACATCTCCAAAAATGAAAAAAAAAAAAAAAAAAGAGAGAGAATAGATTTGAAGAAACTACCCAGAATGGAACAGAGGCTACACAATAAAAAAAATATATAGGGGCGCCTGGGTGGCTCAGTCGTTAAGCATCTGCCTTCGGCTCAGGTCATGATCCCAGGGTTGGGGGGTCAAGCCCTACACTGGGTTCCCTGCTTGGCGGGGAGCCTGCTTCTCCCTCTCCCACTCCCCCTGCCTGTGTTCCCTCCCTCACTGTGTCTCTCTCTCTCTGTCAAATAAATAAATAATTTTTTAAAAGATTTTATTTATTTATTTGACAAAGAAAGAGAGAACACAAGCAGACAGAGAGGCTGGCACAGAGAGAGGAAGGGAAGCAGGCTCCCCACCAAGCAGAAAGCCAGATGCGGGGCTCAATCCCAGGACCCTGAGATCACGACCGGAGCCGAAGGCAGAGGCTCAACCCACAGAGCCACGCACGCTCCCCTAATAAATAATTTAAAAATATGTATCTATGAAAGGGCATGTCATGAAGAGCCTCAGATGACTGAAGCAGGCGAGCAAACATCTACTCAGAGTTCTGAAACGAGTAAGTAGGGAGAATAAGAAAAGAAGATAATGGTGCAAATTCTCCCAAACTAATGAAAACTAGGCATGGAGGGATTCCAAAAGAAGACCTCAAGCAGCAGGCTTTTAAAAGTCCACACTCAACAGACATCAGAAAGAAACCGCAGAATACCGAAGACAGAGAAGACAGAAAAAACGGACACATTATCTACGAAGGATCAGTCTGACTGCAGAACTGTCAACTACCTTATCTTCGGAAAGATTAACCTGCTCCTCCGGAGTTCTTAAAAAAGAAAGCGGAGACTCAATTTGCAAGCAAACAGAGCTTCCCACGAACAGCCCCTGGCAGAAGCACTTATTTCAGAAAGGACCTTATTTCAGGAAGGGCAATGACCCCAGAAGGACTGAGGTGCAACCTCGGGCGAAAGCTGGAAATTACACAGCTCTCCCAGCCGCTGAAACACCTGCGGAGGGAGGGCTTCCCCCGAGGACAGGGTGAACCACAGCAGAGCACCTGCAGAGTGACAGAGAAAGCAAGAGGTCCCTGCGAAGGCGGTGGGACACACGGCGACGGAGGGAGCACGGTCTCCTTAGGGCTATGACTAACCAGGACTCCAAGGTCGTCACGAAAGGGGTGCGAGGGTGGCAGCAGAAACGGAGCATCCTCTGCGGTTCCATGGGGGACCGGGACAGGGGGCCCGGGAAAACTCCTGATGGGACAACTACAGAGAAGCTGGTCCACGGGGCTACCCCAGCCAAGAGTTCTGCCAAGTCACTGTGAGGACAACTCAAGAAAAACCTCAAAATGACCCAAAAGCCTACTTTATATCATATGTTCCTAACTACACACACATAATATTTTTGTGAACCGTAAACCAAACCCAAGCTAGTGCTCAGAAGAACCAGAACATGTGCATTACACAGGTAGTGAGAGAAAATGTCACTTGTGAGTCACTTATGGCAGATCCCCCAAGCACAGCATCCCCCTCGGCTCCAGCCCGAGCCGGCCAGGGAAGCGAGGGGGCTCTTCTCCCCAGACAGCCCAGCCGGCCCTGCCTGCAGTGGAGGCGGCCAGGGGACCTGCTCCTCCTAGCAGCAACGGGCCCACGGGTGCGGGGATCTGAGGGGTTGGGGGGGAAGCGCAGGTGTGACTGAGCAGAAAAACGGAAAAAAGGTCATGAAACGAGAGAACTCCCACTACTGATCCCAGGATCATTCTTTCTTACAAGGCCATTTGTGTGCAAAGACACACAGAGCCAGCTTCCTAAGAAGTCCTTCCACTTGAAATGGAAAGTGCATTTCAACTCCAAACTCTCCCTCTAAGAATATGACGGAAATCACGGAACTAGAGGGTGGTCAAGAGAGTGAACAAATCCTCACAGGGGCAAAAACGATGTGAATGTAAAGGACACAGGAAGAATATCTGCATCACGATTTGAAAACCTGAGAAACAGTACTCCCCAAACAAACCTCGGCAAAATGAACAATCCGACGCAGCTTAGACCATACGCATAAGAATGCTTCCTAGGAAGCACATCCCAGCATTTTACGAAAATGGCCATATCGACTTACTGCATTTCCTACTATAAACAGTAAGAACTCGATGAATAAAATGATTCCAAACATACCTGATAACCCTCTTTCATGTGTAAGTAATTCTTTCTCCTTTTCTATTTCTTCCGCGTCACGATACATGTCCTCCTCACTGAAATCACACCAAATCAGACATTTCAAAAATGTGTTGCACTGACATTTCCCTCCCATTACAATATGCACCTGCTTAAAAAACTTATCAGACACTAAAAGTGTAGCTTTTTTCATATTACATGATGATGATCTGATAAAATATGGATCTTAAATCTTGGATGCTCATGCGTCTATCATTCTACTTCAGAGCTTCTGAATTTAAAAGTGACACTTTCACATCACTCCACTGGCTGCATGGCTCTGAGGCCACTTGAACTGGAACGTCTATGAATGGGAGCTCAGCTACACTCGTAAGCATCTTAGCATGCGTCTTATCAGTGAAGCCTCGTCACGATGCTATCAAGTTCCAAGAATGGAGACAACACTAATAAAAGTATTTACACAGGAATGCAGGCCAAGTGCTTTATTATGTCACAAGCAAATTTTACAATCACTACTTTAAAAACAAGGATAGGAGACCATCAATCATTTTAAGTCCCCAAAGCCAAAAACCCTCCCGAGGCTCTTCCTGCTCCCTGACACCCCCCCGCCCCCATTGCAGCAGCCAGCCCCGCGGAGCACGTCCCTCCTCTCCCACATACGTGAAGTGCCGCCACCCTGGTCGACTTGGTACTTATACGGTAGGTTCCTGAAGTCTCTAGTTTCATCTAGTGAGTGAACAAGAATACACTGTGCGCTAGAAAAGGACAGAAAAGCCCCCTAGCTGCCAGACAAGGACTGAAAAAAGGCATCTGCTTTGCCCCTCAAGAGAAGCCACAACCCGACAAGGAGGAGAAACAGAAATACCAACCCTATCTTTGCTAAAACCACAAGACCCAAACAGTCCAAAAGGGAGAAAGAAACAGTAAATGACCGAGGACAGGAAGGCCTCCACGCCAGCGGAGGAACATCTGCTAGACAGTTAAGACGGTAAACCTGCAGAAAACCCTAGAGGGGCTCAGGAACTGGCAGTGCCAAGCATTTTTCAGGGTACAGGAGACCCCCCCAGAGCTGAAAAGGAGAAAACTGGCCAAAGTACATATAAAGTGTAATCAGATGCCCAATTCCCTATACTTCCTCCCCATGGCTGCACAGCCCACCCTGCACACCAGACAGAGGCTCCAGGCGCAAGGAGACACGGGAAGGAGTTAGTAAGATTAGTAACAAGTACGGAATTAAGCAAACGACCTCAGATACTACCATTCCCAATCCCCTCGACAGCCCAGCTCCTGGTACAAGGCTCAGCACAGCAGGGGGAAAGAGGAAGAAGAGGCCAGCAGGAGTAAGAGAAAGATGAAGGATACTGAGAGCCATCTGCTATCCCCACCTTCCCCCGCCTCACTGAAACCCTTTACTGGCTCTCAAATAAGCGGCGACAGCTACATGTGGACCTGACCCACCACGCTAGCCTGGATTCCAGGATTCCTCTACACATGCCCCCCCTTCAGTCCAAACACCTGACTGAGCACTAGCCTATGCTTTTACACCTGTGACTGGCTCAACCCATTCCCTCTGCCGGAATGACTCACTACCTACGACATCAGGACATGTGCGGTTGGGTGACGCAGCTGGGACCCCAAAGTTACAAGGTCAGTTAACGACTCCTCGCTCCAGCCCTCATTAGCCCTGTGTGTGTGGCCATGCAACTGAAGTAACTATACCTCTCGGAGCCTAAATTTAACCACTTAAATTTAACCACCACAAAAAGGACAGTGAGAGAACTCATCTCAAAAGACTGCTGTGAAAAAGAACACATGTAAAATATTAGCTCTCCCAAAAGTTAGCTGTTCTCATTCTCAAACTACACCACTGGTGCACAGTATTAACAAATAATTCACCCAATGGTCATTTCTTACTCCCTTTTTTCTCTTTAAATAAAGGTAATGATATGGGTGTGGGTGTGCCCATTTTTTTAAAATACTGTGCGGCTGAGGGAACGTATTAGGAAAAGGTACTTTCCATGTTCTCTGACCCCCATGAGATTCCACGTAAAATGTATGCTGTCATGCCAGAGGTAAAAGCAAACCAAAACCAGATTCACAGGGACTATACATCAAATGCCTAAAATAAAAAGTGACTAAATATGTTAGTTCTTCTTTTAATAACTTCATTGTACCTTTTGGCCTCCTCCTTAGCTTTTTATCAAATAGGAGAGAAATTCTGATCCTACAAAACAAGCATCGAAGTGAACCACTTTCTTGATGTCCTCATCAGAAGCATGACTTTGGGCAAGCCACTTCCCTAATCCTGGCCTTAGTTTTTCTCATCTTCAAAGTAAGAAGAGCAGACAGGGTCTATACGATCTACATGGTTCCTCTTCCAGGTCTTAAGTTCTATGAGACTATGAATCTACGTGTTGTTAAAAACTATACTTCAAGCGAATCCTGTGGCTATGCTGCAGGCACATTTGGCTCCACCTCTGTCCTCTTCCTTTTTAATCTGCAAAATAACCCAAGTGCGAGCGCAACACCAGTGCCCAGAGGAAGTTCTCTGAACAAGCCTCTCTTGTACACATATAAATTCCCACGAAGGCCAGCAGAAATGGAACGAAAAGAAATCAACGTGAGAACTAAATGCGAAGGGAAGACAAAGTAGAAAGGAAGATTATTGGAAATAAAAAGCACTGATTCAAGATATACAAAAGCAGCAAAGCAGAAATGGGTGAATGGGAGGCCCGAGTGCATTCAAATTACTTTAACCACAACCAGATTTCATTCAGATCCTGTGCACGAATGTTTGCTAACTTCCCTGGCCACCAAGGACAATATCCAAGGACATTTGCTACCTTTAAAAGGCCACTAAGGAAACTGTCATATGGCCTTTAAAGGCTACCAAAAAAATGATACTAAAGCTATAATTTCTTGCATAGAGAACAAATTTTAAGTTTAAGCAATACATTCAATTACTATGGTCAGAAAAGAAGATATTTAACAGCCAAAATCAAATAGTCATCCCACATAAGGACAACCAGCTAGAGAGAGAAAGAGAGAGAGAGAGAGGTGTGTGAGAACAAGAAAAATAATAATTTTACTTAGGAAAATAGTTGACTCAATAATCTATTGCTTTAACCTGTTTAAGTATCAAAATATTAAGGCTGAAAATGACAAAATAAAATATTTATATATTACACATATATATTTATTTATATTTTATATTTACATATTATTTGTTTGTTGTATATTTATTATATTTAAACTAGAGGTTTGAACTTTTTGTTTTGAGAAGGGAAGATAGTGAAATAATGAAAAGAAAAAGGATATGCATTGTAAGATAAAATCTTGATACTGACCAGCTTCAGAAATTTAGTAAACTTTTGTGTTTATATGTCAACTTGGGAGGGGATGAGAAGTGTCTACTGTTTAGCACTCAACAGGCCACTGAAACCCAAAGACTCAAATGATCACCACAGCAAAAGGTTTCCTTCTAGAAAACATACAGATAGCTAGAAAAGTAAGCCAAAGTCTTAAATATGACTTGATTTCTTGTGGACCATGGCATGTGAGTCAGGCTCAATTACATAATTGAGTTAAATTTTAAAACCAAAATCCAATACGTTCTACTTAGAAAATTCTTAGTTTAGCACACTGCTATTTTAAAGTGTGTATTTTCAAGCTCTGGTTTTCTTTTAAGCTAAAGATGAAATATCTTAATATTGAGGCAATATACGTGATTGAATAAATTATATGATTCTGCAGACCACATTATAATCTCTCTTGCTGTTTGAAGAACTGCATAACAATAAAATGTTTGAAAATTTAATTTAAATTTGCTTACTACATACAGACACAATTATACTGTTGCCAAGAACAAAAGCTATCAACTGAAAACACAGAGCTCAGTGAAGCAAGACACTTCTGTAGAGCCAATTTTTCAACTTCTTACAATATGTAATATGAAAAAAGTCAATTCTAACATACATGCAAAACTAACAAGACAGTATTGGACTCTCTCACCATTATGAACATTTGCATTAAGTTCCCCTTAGTTGTCTAAAAAAGCTAAGTATGGCTTTGTTCAGCTTTCTGAACTTGAACGTTGCATTTCATGCTTAACTTGGCCTATCACAGAAGACCCATCACCCAGGCAGTGCTGGTAAGACAGTGTCAACCACTGTGACACTAATGTACCTTCCCAAAAAGGTAGAGGAAAAGCAAAGACCACTCGACCCAGTCTTTCTCCACCACCTCGCGGTTGTAGAGATGGGTGAACAACACATCAAATGCAGGAAAGTACCGGCACCCAAGCCAAAATTCCACCCCCTTCTGCAAGTGGACTTTCCATGACTGGCTCGTGCTACTCCACGTGACTTCCAGAGGTATCTGGGGACAACCCAGATATCCTCAACAATGAGGTTTGAAACAGTCTTTACTTCCAGGTTGGAGAAGGGGCAAGAGAGAATGAGGGAATGGCTGTTACCCCATCAAACATACCCCACAGGAGCTAAGGAGTGAGGCGAGTGGGAAAACACACTCCCACGACAGCGTATTAGCAACATCCAAGAACAATGGTTTAAAAACTCATTGTGCACAACCCTTTTGAAAATCCATAGCTCCCATCAGAACCTCAGCCCAGAAAAACAAATACACATCAAATTTCACCTTCAATTTCAGAGGGGTTCACAGACATATGCTCCCCACCACATACAACAAGCCTATGGACCCTAGCTTCAAACCATGTCCCACCATCAGGCAGGCAAAGACCGGCCTTGAAGTAGTCATGCTTCTCAGTTCCCTGAGCTCGCCTAGCCTGGCCACCGACCAGGTCTCGGGACCATTTTGGTCCTCAGAAACGGTAACTTATTTAGCTAAGGGCAAGAAATGGACACAGCCTCAGTTTCAAATGCAGGGGTGGGGTGAGCAGGGGATAGCGGACAGCAGATGTGCTCACAGAAACAGTGAGGAAGCTCCAAGAAAGTCAACCAAATCTGGTGTGACCTAAGACTTCTTCAAATCAGACCGTAAGCCATCTTGCGAGCCATCCTTAGGGTTTGTCCAGGGGATGCCAACCAACCCCGGTTCTCAAATGAGCTAGAAGAGGTAAGCGGAGAGTCATAAATCATGTTCCTCTGCCTGGTTTTGCTGAGAAAGCCAGAAAAAGATGGGGGTATGTTTCCATCAAAGCATCAGGGAACGTGGCCCAGAAACCTACTCCCTGTCTCCCTGGCTAAGAAGGACCTCTGGAATCCAGCACTCAGTTTCCTCCTGCGTAAGATGACAAACCTAGGCTGTTTTTTTTTTCCCCCCTGTGTTTCCTTTCAGACTAAGTCTGTAAATCTACTGACAGCGGTAAGAGGTGTGTCTCAAAACCTTTTCATTGAGAAAGAGTGCTCCTTCCCACCACGGCCTATTTCCCCAGGTTCTGACTCTGGAAACCACATCCAAAAACTTGCCAAATAACTATACATACTTTTAGAAACATGGTTCTGGATTCAAAGTTTCTGCATCTAGAAGGGGCATTAGAATGCTCCACTCAAGGCTAAGGTGCAGCTTCTGAGGGGCAGGGTCTCTAACCAGGGAGTTACATCACTGGCCACCAGGGCAAGAGGAAGGCAGCAGCAGTTAGTAACCATCACGGGCTGCGGAGGGGCAGAAGCAGAAGACACCCCCTCTCGCCCTCCCCACCCATTCTATTTTACCCTCTGCGGAGTCTGAGGTCGTTTTCTAACCTAAAAAGCAAACCAACATCAGCTCCCACATGGGCCTGCACAGCGGTTTCGGTTAAAGAACAAAATGCTAGTCTTTAAAAATCAGGATATTTCATTAAAAATTCAGGATATTTGGACTCTTGAAATACAGAAAATTCAGCAAGCAGAGGGAAGAACCTCCTGGACTCTGACCCCAACAGTGAGGGACACAGCTCTCCGGAAACCCATGGTCCACACCTGGCCAGCCGCACTCACCTACGTTACCTGCATAGGTAGGAGTTTGAGACTGCCTACTCCAAATCTTTCCCAGTAGCCATGAACACACTAAGTGTGGATAATACCATTCCAGAGGCCTTAGGTGCTCAATAAATGAGAAGGTCAACGCCCATGGACAAGAACCCTGCACATCAACGTCATTATAATAAACGAGCTGCACAGCAGGCCCACCAAGGACCCCTTGCCCAAGGGGGGGTGGGGATCACATTTGAACACACCTTACAATTCAACTTGCCAGCCAATTAAGCTGTCAGAATGGTTATCTGAGTGCTTTCATCGATTCTGGAATTCAAAGGCATTTGCATGTGCCTAGAACCTGAAAATGTAGAAAAAGTTCTCTTCAAGTCTATATTCTGCCTGCACCTCACTCCCAGATCCTTGCTAAAAATATAAACGCCTCCGGTTTGTGCTGCCTTCCTCACAATTCACTAAATAACTGATCTAACCAGGCTGCCTTTCCTATTTAAAAATAAAGGGGGATGGGGACAGCTAGTTAAGCCGTTAATGGGCAAAAGAGAATTGGGTCAGACTCCGACCAAAGTCTGTTCAACAGGTGGAGCGCTCATCAAGCGGCGACCTGCCTTTCAAGAACAAACTTGTCGCATGGCTGTTTTCCTTTGGCTGTGATAGAAGCAACCTTACTTCCCCAACCAGGTCGGAGGAAAGATTCACTGAGTTATAACAGTACGCTTTTCCAGTTTGTTTCCCAAGTTCCTGGAGCTTTCTTTTAACTTTAGAGCTATGCAGATGTAGAAACAGGGGCACTGGATGACCAGAATTGTAAGACCCCGGGCCCTGCGGAAAAACATTTTGTACGAAGACTGGACACAAGTGTCTGAATTCCACTCCGTCGCCGACCTTACCCAGAACCAAGGGTAAGAAGGGCTCTCGGCCGGCTACTCCCCAGCCCAGCCCACACCCAGCCTCCCCAAGGGGAACGAGCCTGGCGCCCCCGCCCGCCCCCGCCGCGCCCCGCGACTCACTGCTCGGCTGGGCACCGCACCGCGGTCCGCGGCTGCCCGCCGGCCGCCGCCTTCCCGCCCTCCCGCGCCGCCGCTCTAGTGGGGCCCGGAGACGCGGCCCCCGCCTCCCGCACCAGCTTCTCAGCACGGCTCGCGCCCGGCCACGCTCCGGGCTGGGGCATGGTGCCCCGACTCATGGGACCGCCGGCGGCAGGGGCGCCCCAGCGGTTCCGCCGCTCGGAGCGATCCGGGGCCCCTCCCGTTGGGGGGCCCGGCAGTGGCCGCCGCCGTTCTACAGCCCGCCGGCTTCCGAGGCTGCGCAGGACGCTTCCGCACGCGTCACCCACTCCCGCCCCGCGGCCTCTGACCCGCGATGAGGGGGCGTGGCCCGCTTGGACGGGGTGGGCGGGGAGCCCTTCGTCGCGGCGCCTGCGCAAGCCGCTGCGCATGCTGAGCCGCGGGCCGATACGGCGGCCTGCGTGGTGCGGACACTGCGCATGCTCCACACAGCGGGTCCTCGCTGGAGTTCCTCGCGCGTCTGGGTTTCCCTGGATGTGGCGGCCCGCCCGGGAGGTGAGAGGGAGGGAAAACGCTGGACGAGCGAAGGATCGCATCCCCGGTGAGGAGGAGGAAGGCCCGCCCAGGGTGTGAAGAGCGCCAGCGCTTTTGAGCACCTTGCAGTGTCAGTCTGGGCTTCAGAGCCGGGCGGGATTTCCTCAACCACAGAACGAAGGATGTGGGCAGACTGAGAGATGTGCGGCTTGCCTGGCCTTCCCCGAGTGACAGCTCCGTCACGACCCGCCCTGGAGCCCGGAGAGCTTTGGTTTCGGGTGTGGGGTCAGGCTTGTCGAGGCTTTGTGAGGGCGGGAGGGTGAACTGGTTCTGTGCAGTTGAGCAAGCTCCGCACTTAAGAGTGTGGGCCGTAGTCTTTGAAGGGAAAATTTGATGTAAGGGGAATACGAGCAAAGGGAAGGTGCTTAGAGACCTCAGAGATCAGGAGAAACCGAAATGTTTCATCTCTGGGGAGAAAGATGAGGAGCGGTCGGGGGTGCAAGGGGTATTACTGGAAGGAGGATGCTGGAGACCAGATGGAGAAAAGCTTCCTTAGGCTGGGAAGGGAGCTTCTGCTTGATCTTCGCTAAAAGTTGGAAGGTGGCGACTATTTGACAAGGTGACCTTGTTAGAGAAAAGATTGGGAAAGGGCAAGACGGGGAGTCCAGTTTGAGGAGACTAGATAATAGTGGGCATCAAAGGAAGAAATTGGATGGAAAGAATATTTCTTCTCCAAGAATATTGGAGAAAAGTGGTCCAAAGACACAAACTTCCGGTCGTAAGATAAATAATACTAGGGATGTAATGTACAGTGTGATGACTGTGTCTAACGCTGCTGTATGATACATAGCCAAGCTGTTAAGAGTAGATCCTAGGAATTCTAATAACAAGAGAATTTGTTTTATCTATATGAGATGATGGTTGTTAATTAAACCAGTTGTGGTAATCATTTCACAATATATGTAAATCAAACCATCATGCTGCATACCTTAAATTCATACAGTGATGTGTATCAGTTATTTCTCAATAAAACTGGAAAAATAGGGGTAAAATATTTGTATTTTGAGGCAAAGAACAATGGAGTGAGTTTTTTCCTTTAATTTTGAAAAATACACATGCTAAAAATATTCAGAGCATGCAAAAGAATACAGGAGTTATATTCCCAGTGGCTATTAAGGATGTGGGATTATAGTGGGTTGAATAGTGTCTCCCAAAATTCTTGTCCACTTGGAACCTCAATGTGACCTATTTGAAAATAGGGTTTTTGTAGATGAGGTTAAGGTGAGGTCATAATGCCTTAGGGTAGGCCAGAAATCAAATGACTAGTGTCCTTATAATAGGAGAGGATGCAGAAATATATAGTGACAGGAAATAAGAACATATGAAGATGGAGACAGAGATTAGAGTGTTGTAACAATACACAGAGAAATGCTGGGGGCCATTAGTAGCTAGAAAAGGGCAAGGAAAGATGATCCCAAAGAAGAAGTGTGGCCCTGCTAATAACATGATTTCAGGCATCTGTCCTCCAGAACTGTGACAGAATAGATTTCTGTTTCTTTAAGCTCTCAGTTTGTGGTCCTTTGCTGTAGCAGCCATAGGAAACTAACAGATCAAGATGAAGACTTACAAAATTCTATCAGGCTGAATTAACTGATAAGGGCCCACCAAGCAGATATTTTAGATACAACATGTTACCTCCAACGGTTAGAAAAAGTTTAACAGTTTGTTTGAATGGTTGCTGAGTATGTCTTTTTCTATTATGCACGTAAATCTGGGAACATAATCATAAGATGGGCTAACGGACCCCCTGGACCCACTAGGAGAAGGACTTGAGCGAAACTCTACTGATCACTTGACTTCCATCCTCCCCAAGGTGCCTACACTAAATGAAGTGCCAGAACTGCCTGGGATACTATTGAGAAAGGTATCCAAAGGCTTGGGGGTAAAGGGAGTTGACATGTTAGAGTGGATTTATCATGTAAGACCTGCTCACCCACCCCAGGAGGGTCCAAAGGACATTACCCTTCACCGTGACTCTGGGAAGTAAATCTATGAGTGAAGCCCCAACATCTTTGAAGAGATCTGCATTCTCTGTAGTCAGATAAATCTTACAGTGGAAACTACACAAACTGGGATTTCTAAATGCACTGGGGATAATGGGATCCTAGGATGGCAGGGACCAAGAGGTGGCACTTAATTGTCAAAAACTAGATGGGTGTGGTTGCTGTAATGGACACCTGAACTGAAGCAGTAATCAGAATTGTCTGACTTGCAGAGACCTATGACATTGCCAGTTGATCTTAATGTCCCTAGGGAAAAAAAGAAGTGGACAATCTGCTGAATTCATACTTGGTATTAGCAGAAAAGTTCTAGGTTTAGCAAACAGAAGTCCTAACTTGCACCACCAGAACAGAGCATCACTGCCCCTCTGTCATTTTCCACACTTGAACCAGTTTATACACTCACAGCTCTTTGAATGAAGGGGAGGCCAAGTCCTCTTGGGGAAGGACATTGCTCTTTTGCTAAAAATGTATATTATTAATTTGTCCCCAGCCTTCCCCAAAGAGCCCTATGCCCATCTACCAGGGTGACTGCCCACTGGGGGAAAGGAAATAAGCAGACTTTGGGAGGTTAGTAGACAATGGCTCTAACTTGACACTGCTTCACGGAAACCCACAATATCATTATGTGTACAAACCAGAGTAGGGGCTTGTGGAGGTCAAGTGATTAAAAGAGTTCTAGCTCAGGTTCATCTCACATTAGGCCCAGTGGGTTTCTGAACACAACCTGTGGTTACTTCCCAATTCCAGAATGTGTAATTAAAATAAACGTGCTCAGCAACTAGCAGAATTCCCACATTGGGCCCACATTGGTCCCCTGAGCTATAGAGTGAAGGTGGTTATTTTAGAAGAGGCCAAATGGAAGACACTAGAACTTTTTCTGTCTGTAAAAATGTAAACCAAAAGCAATGCCACGTTTTTGGTGGGACTGCAGAGATTAGCACTACCACCAAAGACTTGAAGGTTGCAGAGGTTGTGGTAGCTACTACATCCCTTTCAGCTTGCCTGTTTGGCATGTGCACAAGACAAATGGATCCCGGGGAATGACAGTGGATTTTCATAAATTTAATTATGTGGTGATTCTAGTTACACTGCCACTCCACATGTGGTTTCCTTGTCTGGACAAATCAACACTTCTCCTAGTACTAGGTATATAGCTGTTGATCTGGCAAATGCTTTTTCCCTTTATACCTGTTGAAAAAGTCTACCAGAGGAATTAACTTTCAACTGACAAGGCCAACGATTCACCTTCACTGTCCCACCACAAGATATAACAACTCTTCGGCCCTGTGTCATGATTTAGTCTGCAAAGACCTCCTTTCCCTTCCACAGAAAATCACACTAGTCCCTTCCATTGAAGATGATATACTGATTGGCACTGGTAGGTAGGATGTAGCAATTACTGTACACATATTGGTAAGATATTTGCATATCAGAGGATGGAAAAATAAATCCTCCAAGACTCAAGGGCCTTATTCCTCAGAGAAATTACTAGGGGTCCAGTAGTATGGGATTCATCAAGATACCACTTTAAAGGTGAAGGACAAGTTGTTACTAAAGGAAGTAACTACTATAGGAAGAGGCCCAACACCTAGTGAGAAAAGAGAAATCTCTGCCATGGGTCCAGGCTATTGTGCAAGTGGCTCTGCCATTTGGGTCACAGGACCCAGTAGACCCAGTGGAGCTTGGAGTGGCAGGTGGAGACACTCTTTGGAGTCCTTGGCAAGCATTTATAAGTGAATCACAAGGCAAGTCTTGGGATTTGGGACTAAAGCCCTGCTACCTTCTGTGGAAGTTACTCTCCCTTTGAGAAACAGCTTTTGGCCTGTACTGGACCTTATTAGAGGAAGAATGCTTCTCTGTGAGTCACAACTCACCATGTAACCTGGGCTCAGCAATAAATCATGTCAGTGGATTGGAACCGTGATAGATGGGATCTGATGAAAATGGCTCTGCGCTTCTGTGATCTTCCAAAAACCCATAACCCCAGTCCAGTCATGAGAAAAACTGGACAGATTACAAATTCCATTAGAGGGGCATCCTACAAAATAGTTGACCAGTATTGTTCAAAACTGTCAAGGTCATCAAAATCACCAAGAGTCTGAGAAACTAACGCAGTCAAGAGGAGCCCAAGGAGATGGACTGACAGTAAATGCAATGTGGTGTCCTGGTAGGGATCCTGAAACAAAAAAATTCTTCCTTAAAAAAAAGTTAAGTAAACTATCACCTTAGTTAATAATAATGTACTGGGTGGCTCAGTTGAGTGTCCAATTCTTGGTTTTTGCTTAGTTCATGATCTCAGGGTTGTGGGATTGAGCCCCAGGTCAGGCTCTGTACTCAGCACAGAGTCTGCTTGAGATTCTCTCCCTCTCTCTCTTCCCATTACCCCTTTTGTGCTCTCCCTCTCAAATAAATAAAATCTTTAAAAAGATAATAACATATCTGTACTGATGCATTAACTGTAATAAATGTACCATACTAAAGTAAGATGTTATCAGCAGGGGAGATTGGGTGTAGAGTATATAGAAACTTTGTACTAGCTTCTCCATTTTTCTGTAAACATAAACTATTCCAAAAAATAAAGTCTATTATATAGGAAAAATCAAATCACCACATCACAAACTGTTAAACCAAGACTTTCCAAAATAATGATGAATATCTAGCTACATTGTTCTTATTTTGCACTTAGATAGAAAATT